AATGCGTGACACATCGAAGCTCGCTGAAAAATGAGAGACTCTTGCGGAACGTAAATTTCTGCTCTTTGCCAACTCCGTTTGTGTACTCTCTCTTTCTTATCTGTAGCAATATTAAATTTTCAGCAACTTTAACACATATTACATGATCTATCTGCTTAATACTTTCTCGCATTCTCGTTCCTCGCTGCATATAATTTGTGGTCGATTTGTGCGCGCGAAGAATGATATCTTGAATAATGATAAATTATGAATATTTATAACAAGCGGATTTGATTTTCGATGAAGCTGATTGCAGTGACGTTGCTATCTCGTGCAAGTTCACTCTCTCTCTCTCTCTCCCTTTCTCTCTTTTTCTATTTCTCTCTGTATTCGAGCTGATAGTCTATACACACTAATATTCTTTAGGAGCCGTAATGCCAATCGATTGTGTCGCTCGTCCAAACTGCGGCTCAACGCGCAACAGTTTATCGTTACGTTTCGGGTGCAAAGATCTCGACGGAATTGTCGGCGTTCTGCGCACTGGAACGTATCGCTCGTCTTCGCTCCTCGATCATTTGTCGTCGCGCTTGCTCCCTCGCTTCGCGCGCTTTTTTGTTCGCCTCACTGTTCGCGGTCGGTTTCGCTTTGTGGACTGGTATAACTCGGCGTTTGCCATTCTGTTGAGAGGTTGACGCGGTCTTCTTGTCGGGCACGACCTGCAAGCATATCGAATCGTGATCGCAATTGTATCAAAGTGTTAAGCAATTGCTTGATTTTCAAAAAATAAGTACAAATAAGTAGAAAATAAGTACAATAAATCAAAGAAATATACTTAAGATGCATCACGTGGCTATATTTCTATTCTTCCTTCCTTTCTACTCTCTATTCTTCGATCTTCTCGCGATAAGCGTCTTCGTTAATTCAGTTTTTCATAAAAAAAACTTAAATTTAATCTTGCACACAATCGCGAAATTTAAGTCTGCTTAATAATATTTTATTGTGCACGTTCGCAGAAAAATTCGTATAATTGTTATTAATATACTTCTGTGATTCAGCAATATTTGCAGAAAACAATTGAATATGGAGTCAAACAAATAGAATCTTCCGCTTTGTTGGATTTGATATAAATAACAATTTCTTTCTTAATGATTATTTCGAACTTTGTCAATTTTCTCCGCCGACATCGGACGTTTGAAATAAAGGCTGAATCAGTATTAACAATAAATTTTGAACTTACCTCTTGCCACTGCGACTTTTTCAACTTTTCTATCTGGTCAAAAAGTTCATTTACTTGAACAACTTGTAACATTACCATATCCCAGAAGCCAGCTAAGTCCTCATTCGTCGTCGGAAATTCCTCACCCGGCACTTGATTCTGAAATATCAACATATTAGTTAACCCGCAACAGATTTAATGCGCCATAAAAAAAAAGTAAAAAATAATTTAAAAACTTCTTACAATATTCTTCTGACATAATCCTTCAAACTGCTGCATCTTTTGTGAGGCTAACAATCTGGCCTTTCCTGCAGCTGATCTCAATTTACCAGCTGCCTCCTCTGGCAGTGCAACAGTATCGCCGCTGGCTAATTCGGCCTCTGCAGACGCGGCCAACGAGAGCAGTCTATCTGTCTCTTGCTTTAATAACTAAAAATACGAATGTCTATAAAACTTCCATTTTGGGATGCGCGCCTACGTCGTGTAACGTATGCATTCTCTCTCTCTAATTACCTTCATGTAGTAATGACCGTCTTTCTCTTCAACTATTTTTTCCGCTTCTTGAGCCTGCTTCGCTATGTTCGTTGAACTGGCGCTAGGTTCTAATACGGGTAACACTACTTTCGGCGCGGCTGGCTGCTGATCGGGTATGCTCTTATTACTACTAGTATCGTGTTTCGGTACATCATCTTCTATAGTAACCGGAATTATTCTCGTTACAGTATTCTGCGAATTCGTGCTTGAAGCGCTTTTCTGTTCAGTCTTTCGCGTTGGTATTATCCTGAAAATATAAAAGTATTTCGTTACCAACAAAAGCAAGGAAAAAAGCAAAGCAACTTTTGTTCTATTTCTAAGTAAACTATAGATGCTAACCTTTGTAGAGGCTTTATTACTTGTTCTGTGCCGTCTGTCGGCTTTCTACTACTGACTACAGGAAGCTGCGCTCGAAATTCTGGACGCAGATGTCGAAGCACGGGTAGATTCTTTAACGATTCCTCCGCGTTTGCGTTGTCTATCGAAATGTCACTGCTATTACTGGATTTATTGAAATTACTGTCACTAGTGTTTAGCTTAGTAGTGCTGCGTTTGAAAAAGAAACCCTGCGCTAGAGCACCTGGCCCGTAAAGCCGCTCCACTCGTTGCTGAATAAAGGATTTCTCGGTATTCGACGAGGTGTTTAATACTTGACTCTCAACTTCCACTGTCGAGCCGTTCAGAATATTGGTGTCACTAAACGATGTATTCGAAACTGCAAAGAAACAAAAAGAGAATCCTGTTTTTAAAAAGGCACGTTATCAATATCTCGATAATATCGAAGTTCATTGTTGCATACATTTTAACATTAATGTATATTTTATTCACTTTTATGCCTTAGAATCTTATATCATATCATTTGGTAGAACTAGAACTTTACTGCGATGCATTGAAATCTTATATTATAGAATTCTAAACTATTTCTTTGTTTCAAATATAAGATTTCAATGCATTGTGATAAAGTTTTAGATCTGTTAAATAATATGATATAAGATTCTAAAGAATAAAAATAATTTTTAAAAAAGTTTAAGACATTCTTATGTCTTAAAAACTCTTATATCACATATCATTTGGTAGAGCTAGTTACTTTTTAATTAAGATTAGTTACTTTTCAAAATTTAAAGACAAAAAATGATATAAAATTGATTAAAAAAAACTAAATAAAACTAATAGCAAATTATAAAATTATTGAAAGAAATTACCGTTAGTAACTTTTTGTTTCGAAGGGGAGAAACTTGCGTTGAAGGATTTATTCTGTTGACCGCAGGACATTATTGGCGACAGTCCAGGACTTCGTTTGCTGACAGAAGTGTTCAACCTGATAGGACTGACGTCGGAAAATGTCGAGTGCAAGGACACCGCCTTGTCGACTTCCGAGTAGCCCTGACACAAACCGATTGAGCTTCTACTTTCCATGTACGTTTCAACCTTGCACTCCTCTTTCATGCCGTTCGTGAATCCGTTTTGCCTGTCCATCGCTAACGGTGATATCGACTGGCTCTTAGGCGGATGATGAGGCGCCGGAACGTTGAGATTCTCGTTGGATCTACAATTTTAAAGCGATCGATTAACTGATTTGTCTCGTTTCGCGAAGAAGGATAAAGATGATCCAAGTATTTCTCTCACCTGAAACCTGCAGGGCTCGTGTCCCTCGTGATCAGCCTTGTGCCAGGGCTGCTGTCTCTCGAGCGAAATCCTTCCCTCAGCTTGCTGTCGTACCTGGTGATTCCCGAGTAGCCACTTATGCTGCACGCCAGTCCTAAATAACTAGGCTTCTTCGCTGCCGTCAGCTGTTCTGGCTCCGGACTGCCACGATGAACATTGCTGACGTTCAACTTCTCGTCGGGGCTGAGATGCGACTTCTGCAACGTCTCGCTGCTGCCGTTCGCCAAGTTCTCGGGTGACGACACCGGTTCACCGTTGCACGACAGGTTCAAACTGTGCAGCGTCTTTTCAGACACGGAGTCTATAGTGTTCTCTGAAAGAGAAAACTTCAATTTAACATTTGCGGCACGCGGAAACTCATTAATCTTCTTTAGCCCCAATCTACAATCTTACATTCCTAAGAGCTAAATTTACGAAAGATACCGGCGCAAATTTTCTCTTCACTTAAATCGAATAAAATTTTACAATTCTGGGGGAAATTAATTTCCGTTTTACTGTAACAATAGCAAACACTCTATAGATATAGATAGATCAAATTGCACAACTAAATGTTTAAAGTCGTTCAAGTCGTTTCATCGCGTGCGGGTTCGCTAATTCACCAATTCAGCGTATTCTCGTTAACTGATGAATGTCCGCGAGCCAACTGCTCAGCCGACGAGACATTCACCTTCGAAAAGCACCGTCGCCCACGCACTACGCCAGTTCGCACTGAACGAATCTTATTCACATCGTTGTCGCAACGCGACCTTATTTTCCGCATTAGTCGATTCGCGAAATCGTTCCAAGTCCACGCGCCGAGGCAGCCAGACGGAAATTCGGCTTAGTCACTCTTTGAGTCCCGATCGACACTGGCGTGTTTCGCGGAATCGAAATGAGTCGACGACAGTTACCCACTCTCACCTAAATCGCAGCGACGGTCCTGGAACACTGAGCAGAGACTCTCTCGCGGCCGTCTCTCGTCGACGCCTTCTTGGCAACGACGAGGAAAAGAAGCGCTTGCACTTGGTGCACTCGCTTACGGTCTAAATCCGATCGGCATTTCGAACGAGCAAAAAGCGACCTGCGAGAAGGTAACGGTGGAGGGAAACCGGCGACGACCCCACCGGAAGACGACCTTGAAGACTCGAAAATCCACGTGGATCTTGAATGAACATCCCGCGGAGTCGAAAATCAGCGTAATAATAATTTTTTAAAAAATTTAAGCTAATTATGCACAACCCTTCCTTTTCAATTAATTTTACAAATCTGCGATGTAAATTATATAATTTGTAATTAATGCTCGATATAATATTTTCTTTGTGCGAAGAATTATGGTAAAATAAATACACTCACCCGAAAAAAAAGCGGTACACTGAAAATGTGGGAAAAATTCATCAAATTTCAACTGACGATAACTTCGTAAATAATAAAGATAGAAAGTTCTATAAAATATGGAAATGAAGCTAAAAATCTCTACTTTAAGAATCAATTTATTTCAATGTTGCAAAATAAATTTATTGAAAATGGCGGATGACAAGGCGCGAGCATGCAAAATTGAAAAATAATGGTTCGAGTTTGCGACGGTGCACGGTATAAACAAAAAATTGTAGCTTATTGGGATCAAAAGCGTACGAAAGTACAGAGTCTCCTCTTTAAAATGCTTTTTTATG